GGCAGGAAGGGATCAGCTGCGGCAGAGCTTGTAGACCCTAAACCCTAAACCCTAAGAGCTAAGAGCCTATACATATTTAAATCCTGAAGCTCTCGCGGACGCCCTTCCGCGCCCCCTATGCCGCCCCCCATTTCGGCGCACCCCTCACGCAGATTCTTGGCCTCGGAGTGCCGGGAACGGCGTTCCGGGGGGAGATGCTGACATCGGAATGCCAGACATGGCGCCGTTAGTCCTTTGCGAAAGGCACGGGCGCGACCTCGACCCTTTCGGGTTGAGCGCCGCCCCCGCGCCCGTCCCCAGGGGCCGCCCCGCGGAGGCCGGACATGGCCCCCTGGGTTTCCGAGCGGCTATGGCCGCCCCGTCGCGCTGACACTCCGCGGCGCGCTCAAGCGCCACGGAGCCGGCGCGGCTGGGCGACCGCGGCCGCCCAGAAGCCCCCCTCCCTCGGGAGCCTCTCGTCGAGAAGCTCCCGGAGGAAGGCGCAGCTGCGCCTCGTCGACGCCTTTCTGGGGGCGCCGCGGCGGGCGGCGGTGGCGAGCGGTGCAGGCCGGGTCTCAACGCATCGCTACGATTCCGCCGCGGCGCGATGGAGGGCTCGGCTCAGCGCCAGCGACGCGGTGCGGAGACAACGTCGTCATCGTTTTGAAATCAATATGTCTTGGGTTATGGGTGGGTGGGGCACGTCCAACAGGCTGCGAGTTTGGGCTAGTGGGCCCTGAACCCTAAACCCTAAACCCTCAAGACGACAAGCACTACGTATTGGGCAAGCTCGAACGATAGCATGGCGGAGGATGGCGAGCTGGTCCGAAACGATCACGTTCGTAGTCGCGCTAGCTCCGTCCTTCGCGAAACAAGCATTCCGCGCAAGCTGGCACGAGCGGGGGGCCCCCGCTCGTGCCACGCTTGTCGGGCCGCTCCGGAGCCGCCAGGGGCGGCCCCGGAGCGGCCCGACAAGAATTCCGTGCGAGCCGACACGAGCAGGAGCGGCTCCGGAGCGGCCCGACAAGCATTCCGTGCGAGCCTGCGCGAGCGGGAGCGCTCCCGAGGTGGCCCGACAAGCGCTCCGCGCATCCCATCGCGACGCGAATCCTGCGTGTTTTACGGGGGATCGTGGCGTCGGCAGGCTCGAAATATTGCCGTCGCGATGCGAATCCTACGTGTTTTACGAAGGATCGCGGCATCTGCAGGCCCGAAATCTTACCGCTCCGATGCGAATCCGTCGTGTTTCACAAGGGATCGTAACCAAGCTGGCAGGCGGGAGTGGGTTGAGACCGCGGCGAGGCCCCCGGACGTTCTTACGCAGTTAAACCCAAAACCCAAAACCCAAAACCTTAAACTGCAAGCCGCGGGCTGCGCAACGTCCGTAGCCCGCGGCGCCTGGCCGGGCGCTCAGCGAGCCTGCCCATTCCACGTACGTGGCACCGACGAAGCGCGCAGCGCTGAGGAGGCATTCGCCCGCCGCGCGCACGCGGCCGCCTTTTTTTGGGGGGGGTTCTCCTTGCTGGGAAGGGCCCTTGCTCGGGCACCTCAGGGCGCGTTTGCGCGAGCACTCAGCATCATCGCAGTTGCCTTCTGACTGCCACGCATCCCCATGTCAAACGCGCCCCCGGCAGTTTCTACAAAAACGCATGCGCAGCCAACAAGTTCCCGCTTATAACGGCACCCATCTTCGACAAATGAGACAACTTGGACTCCGAAGGCTCCGCCGGCTCCAGGGGTAATGCCTCCATCGGAAAAGCACTGCGCGGCAATTGCTCGCTGCGTCCATTGTTGAATCATCGTAGATGTCAGGGCGCTATTTGAAGATGTGGTCGCCATGCCGAGCTTGACGAGATAATCCGCCCCAGCATTGAACTCCCGGGTCCGCCAGTCGACAGGTTCGAGATATCCCGCCTCGCGCCCGCAGTGCTTGCTATAGAGGGCATGGATGTTCCAACGGATTCTGCCCACCAGCGCCTCGCAGCCCACATTGGTCGTCGCCATTGTAGAATTGGCAAGGCCGCCAAGGCCCGCAACCGTCTGGTTGTCAACGGCGAATGCGAGCTGCATTTCGTTAACCGCGCGGTGGCAGAAAAGGGCATCGCGACCCAAAGCTGCTGGCATAGGGACATCGTCGCCGCCACCTGGTGGCTCTTCTCGGTCAGCAGGCTTGCCTGTGGAGCTGCTGGGCTGGGAGGTGCAAGGCGCGGGCGGCATGGGCAACTCGAGGCTCCGACACGCCGCGAACGCGAAAATCCGCTGGCCCTCCGATTTCGAATGGGTTGCCACGTGCGCATCAAATTCGCCCCTCCAATGAGCGCCCCAGATCTTGACGTAGATATCGCCTACTGGTGGTTGGCCTCCGGGCCGCGCGCGCACGAGGTCACCCGCATCTCGCTTGCGTTTCTGGGAGGACGTCCCTCGCGCAACCTCCCACCATGCAGCATCCAGCTCCCGCCTGACAGCTGCAGCTAAAGCCCCGTGCCCACGTTCTCGCAACAATGAGGCACGCATCCTCCCCAAGATGATCGCATGTATCGGCTTGAAACTACAATTGTCGAATCGCCGAGAAAGCTTCGGCAAAGTGCGCTTGCGGTCAACCATAAGCCCTGCGGCGGCGCATTCTGAAAACGCGTCGAATATGCATTCTCTCCCAACGCATGGCTTCAAGAAACAAGGTTTTGCCCCAATGTGCCAGCGGCAGCAAACATGTAGCGGAGCGCAGGGGCGGGAAGCCCGCGCTTGCAGTTTGAAGCTAACGGGCGCCTCGCCGACCATGCGTTGTCGGGACTTGTGGCAACGCGCATCGCCCTTCCTGAGCCTATGCCTCAACAAAATTTTATTTGGGCTCGACGTATCCAAAATACCACCTAATGCGACCATCGGTAAAACAGCACGGTAAGTCACGCAGCCGTTTTTCGAATAGAAAGCGCAAGTGTCTGAATGGAGATCCTCGCCGCTCAAAACAAGCATTTCTACTGGAGACGGTTTCCACGCCCAACCGTATCGATCAAAGATGGCGTCTGTCAAGCTGCGGCCCACGGCTTCGAACTCGGCCGGGCTGCGCGCCAAAAGAAAGTTATTGTCAACCCACGTTATACTAGGTATGCGAACGCTTGTGTCTGGAAGCTGAAAGCCCACGCCCATAACTTCCCACTCACACTCTAAACGCTCCAGCATTTCGTCAAACATCCTGGCGAAGATAAAAGGCTCCATCCGCCCTCCAATATTGAGGGTTTCGTTTATGACGATGTTGTCCGTCTCGGCTACTCTGGGCACGTTGAGGCTGACGCTTTTCCCATGCATCTCACGTGCGATGGCGAGTACATGGCGCGGTGTGGCGCGCGCCTCGCGCAGGGCCCGAATCGCAACAGAGTGTTCAACCGAATCGAACGCCGTCTGGACGTCCTGCGCACGCGAAACAAAATGGATACCCATCTGCGCGCAAAACGCAACACCTCGAAGAGGACGCCGAAGCAGTCGTCTACTGAAGCATATTGGCGGCAACCAAAACTACGGCATCGCTGTAAAGGCGCCATGCTAGATGTGGCTGCTCCATACACTGCTCCTCCTCCTCCTCCTCCCCCATCGTCTTCGTCTCCTCCCCAAGCAATGCAAGGGCGCCGCGTGGCAATCGCGCGCGCACTTGTTTCTCACAAAATCAAGCCCGCCGCCGCCGCGGGCACCCCCGTCCTGCCGCGCACGCTCCATGCGCGCCCCGACCGCCCCCGGCGCTGGCTACTTGCCCTTGCGCTCCCGCACCCGGTGGTTTTCGTGGCGCTGGCCTCCACGTTCCGCGCGCTCACGGCGCCCCCCCTTTGCCGCGCCCCAAGGTGTACACCACGGGCTCGCGAATCTCGCACCACGCGGGGGCAAAGCAGCGGAAGCGGACGGGATTCCGCCCGGCGACGTCGTCCTCGATCAGCCCAAACCCCCCTGTGTACTGTACCCCCACGTCCTCCTCCATCCAACCCGTCAACGGCGCCGAGTACTCAGGGGTGAACGTTCGGATTTTTCCGTAGTACAACGGGGAGACCTCCACGCTGCGTGAATCTCATTAACAACACCTCCCCCTGCCCCCATTCTCCTCCTTCCCCAACGAGATTCACGCAGCGCCCGCCTCGTCGTGCGTGGGCGCGGTCTCCCGCTGCACCTTTGAAAGGGGAGCCCCCGGGCGTACCTTGGGCTCCGAAAAAGGAGGGGGGGGGGTAGCTTCTGGCCCGCCCCCCTTTGGCAAAGCAATTCTGCCTGCGAAAGGGAGGGAGGGAGGGGGGTAGCTTCCAGAGCCCCCCCCCTTTGAAACGGGGGCCTGGGCTTACCTTCAGTCCCCAGAATGAAGGAAGGGGGAGTAGCTTGAAGCCCCCCCCCCTGAACAAGGAAAGGGAGGGGGGGGTAGCTAAGCCCCCCCCCTGGAATGGGATGGGGGGGTAGCTTCGGAAGCCACCCCCATTTAGCCAGGGCCCCCACTGCTTCACCCCCCCCCCCCTTTGGCCAAAAGGGGGGGGGAGCTTCAGAAGTTCCCCCCCCTTTTCGAAAGGAGGGGGGGGTAGCTTGAAGCTGGGTCCCACCTTTTTGTATAGAGTTCCCCACTTGCGCGCTCTTACTTTTCTGGACATCTGGCAATTGTTTGGCAGAATGCTTCCTTTCCATTGATCGCCCTGCACAATGTTAGGGGACCACCTTTTCTTGATGACAGATCCCCTCGCGTGGTGAATAAGTCCAGACGGGAGGCGTTGAGCAGTTTTCGGTCTCCGGGGCCACGGGGCCGTCGAGAGACGACTCGGGGTGAAGAAGCGGTCCCGGGGAACGGGTCGAGACTTATCGGGGGACCGCGCGTGGAAAAGTCAAGACGTCGCACGTCTGGGGCCGCAGTGTTTTCACCGCGGGCGTTTTCGCTCGGTTCTGGGCACCAGGACCCTCACAGATCGATCCAGCTCGAAAGATGAAGCAGACAGAGGATGGGGTCTTGGGCTCTGGTCGTCATGTTTGGCGATGTTGCATTGTTTGGGCAACGTCGGATCTCAGGGTAGGTCGAAGACGCAGGACACGTGCGCCTCTGGCAGCCCGTTGGAGAGGAGGTATGCGTCGAGCGACTCGCACTCACCCCGGCTCAGCGGGCGCCTGTTCACTGGATCGATCAGCCTCCCGCTTGAGGTGAGGAACGATGCCAGACATCGCCCGTCGAACCAGTGGACCGCCTGCGACGACGCGGAGCGGAGTGCGGCCACGGCACCGGCCCCCCAGATGCCCGCCTCGGGCTCGCATGCCCCGCCCGCGTCGGTGAGGAGTCCGAAGGGCTCGCAGCTGAGCTCCTCCAGGGGCGTCAGCGAGATGGGGCACCGGCCGCCGGCCAAGCCACTCCACCACTGCGTGGGTGCACCCGCGCTGGCCTGGTCCCGTGCTAGTGACCCTTCTGTCGGGAGCGGCCAAGAGGGGGGTGTCCAAGAGGGGGGGGTGCAAATCATGACCGGCGGCATGTGCGCGGCCCAGCGGGGGGGGCCAGGGACGTAATGAAATAAGAAGGGGCGCCATGAAATCTGGGGAAAAAATCTTGGCCCCCGCCATGATATCCACCCCCCCCTAGTCATCACCCCCCTCTTTTCCGCCCCCGACCTTCTGCTGCGTTGCCGCCCAAGCCAGCGCGGCCGGGCTCGAATGAGGGCGCCTCCGCACGCAGCATGCTGCGCCCCAAGGGCTCGACGGCGCCGAGGCGGGAGCGCCGGGCTTCGTCACGGGGTGCAGCTTGAGCCAGAGATCTACGCTTTCCAGGCCAAGGCGCGGCTGATGCAGAACCGGCCGATTGGAAAATGGACGGCATACACTGGCCTGCAAGACGGCGGCCCCAGAGAGTCTAAGATGCCTCCTAATTCGTCCAAGAAGCCTCCAAGACGGCTCCAGACGGCCCCGGAAGCCCCCACGAGGCCTCCAAGACAGCGCAAAAACCGTCCAAAAGGTCCTCCAGGAGGGCCCGAAGAAGCCAAAATCTAAAATCCCCCTTTGGTTGTTGAAGGATTTGGGCAGTTGCTTCTTTGCGGCCTTCCGACGGCCCCAGACAGCCAAAGAGGCCCCCAAGATCGCTCCAAGATGGCCCCAGAGGCCTCCAAGGTAACCCCATGACGGACCAATAAGCCTCCAAGACGGCCCGAAGAGGGCCCCAAGACGGCCCAAGAGGTCTCCGAGACGCCCAGCATGGCCTCCAAGACGGCCCTGAAGCGCCCCAAGAGAGCCCCAAGCCGTTCCAGAGAGACATCCAAGAATGTCTCCGACGGCATCTGACGGGTCAGGAACGCTGCAAGACTGTCAAAGAAGCCCCCAAGAAGCCCCCAAAGGCATCCAAGAACCCCAAGGAGGCTCCCAGGAAGCTCCCAATATGCCCTAAGGGTGTCCCAAGAGGCTCCTCCTCCCCCTCCTCCTCCTCCTCCTCCTCCTCCTCCTCCTCCTCCTCCTCCTCCTCCCCGCCCCATCCCCCTCCTCCTCTTCCTCCTTCTCCTCCTCCTCCTCCTCTTCCTCCTCCTCCTCCTCCTCATCCGCCCTCCTCCTCCTCCCTCTCCCCCTCCTCCTCCCTCTCCCCCTCCTCCTGCTCCTCCGCCTCCTCCTCCTCCTCCTCCTCCTCCTCCTCCTCCTCCTCCTCCTCCTCCTCTCGATATTTCCTCCCTCTCCTCCGCTTCTTGCTTCTCCCCCGCGTGTTCCCCGAAGGGTTTCCACAACGGCTGGGGGAACACATAGCCCGATAGCTTGGCAAAGCTCTGACCGCGACGTCTGGCCACATAAGCCATTCAAAAAGCCAGGCGGCGACGGTGATTCGCCGTAGGCGTCTTCGATTAGGGAAAAGGACGGGTCAGCAGCAGAAGCAGCGGGAGCAGGAGATAGCAGGATCACGGTCAGAAGAGGCATCAGGAACAAGAGAGGTAGGAACAGGAGCAAGGGCTAAAAAGGAATTCACACAGCCAAGAAGATCCGTCCACGCGGACCTTGAAGAGGAAGAGAAGGGAGGGGGGCCAAGCTAGGTTCGCTCACGCCACATCTGACATCCCATGCTTCTCCCCCATCCCTTAGCATTGCGCTGATTTGTTGTATATCCGCCGACGCGTGTCATGGCCGACCTGGAACTCCCCAAAAAGACTCCATCGCGTTATGCGTAATCGGAAAGGCGGAGCTGCGTACATAGGACGTGGGGGCGGGTGAGCAGGAGGATGAGCAGGAGGAGGAGGAGGCGGAGAGGAGGAGGATGTGGGAGGAGGAGGCGGGAGGAGCCGGAGGACCGAGAGAAGGTGGAGGAGGGGTAATGAGGGGAGGGACAGCGATGAGAAAAAGGACTCGGATACAGAAAAGTTGCCCGCGCTGTGGCGAGAGTGCCATTCTGAACGACTTGCTTCCGCGCCGATCCGAACTTGGTGCCCACTCTGCAACGTAAGCACCACTTCGAAACACCAAAAACAACGGAGTGCCGGAAGCCCACATGACAGATAAAGTGTTGAACGGCCTCAGGGGAGAGAGGAGAGCAGGTAGCACGCATAATGTGCAAATCTGCTGGGAGGAGGAGGACGAGGAAGAGGAGGAGGAGGATGGAGAGGAGGAGAAGGACGAGGAGGAGGAGGAGGAGGAGGAGGAGAGGGAGGGAGGATGAGGAGGAGGAGGAATGAGGAGGAGGAGGAGGAGGAGGGAGGTGGAGGAGGAGGAGGATGGAGGTGGGGCGAGCCTCGATCGCCCGTTGCAACGCCCTGGTGGCGGCAAGCTCTTTCCTGGCGTTCTCTTTCGCGACAGTCGCGTCTCTCCAGCCCTGCTCCCGCTGGTCGTGGGCCTTGGCTGGCACGGAATCCGCACGGGGGAGAGAGAAGGCTCCCAGAAGAAATCGCAAATGTTCTGCTGCTCTGCTCCTCCTCCTCCTCCTCCACCTCCTCCTCCTCCACCTCCTTTCCTCCTCCTTCCTCCTCCTCCTCCTCCCTCCTCCTCCTCCTTTCTCTTCTCCTCCTCCTCCCCTCCTCCTCCTCCTCCCCGCCTCCTCCTCCTCCTCCTCCTCCCCCTCCATCCTCCTCCTCCTCCTCCTCCTCCTCCTCCTCCTCCTCGCCTCCTTCCTCCACTTCATCCTCCTGCCTCCCTCCGCCTCCGTCTCCTCCTCTCCTTCTCTTCCTCCTCTTCCTCCTCCTCCTCTTCCATTCCTCCTCCTCCTCTTCTCCTCCTCCTCCTCCTCCTCCTCCTCCTCCTAATCATCAATCATCATCATCATCATCTCACCACCACCAATCATCATCATCATCATCATCTCATCATCATCATCATCATCAACATCTCATCATCATCATCATCATCATCATCATCATCATCATAAACTACCAATCATCATCATCATCATCATCATCATCATCATCATCAACTCATCATCAACATCATCATCATCATCATCATCATCATCATCATCATCCATCGTCATCATCATCATTATCAATCATCAATCATCCTTTCCTCCTCCCCTCCTCCCCCCCTCCCCTTCCTCCGCCCTGCTCCTCTTCCCACCTCCTCCTCCTCCTCCCTCTTCCCTCCTCCTCTTCCCTTTCCTCCTCCTCCTCCTCCTCCTCCTCCTCCTCCTGCCGCCTCCTCCTCCTCCTCCTCCTCCTTCTCCGTCGTTTTCCGCATCCTCCTCCTCCTCCTCACTCCTCCTCCTCCTCCTCCTCCTCCTCTTCCTCCTCCCTCCTCCTCACTCCTCCTCCTCCTCCTCCTCCTCCTCCTCCTCCTCCTCCTCCTCTGCTTCCTCCTCCATATCCTCCTCATCCTCCTCTCCTTCAGCCTCATCATGATAAACATCATCATCGTCATCACCTTCATAGTCATCAGCATCATCATCAGCATCAGCAGCATCATCATCATCGTCATCATCACCAACAGCAGCATCATCAGCAGCATCATCATCCTGAACATCAGCATCAGCATCTGCATAAACTGCATCAACAGCATCATCATCAACCTCATCATCAGCGGCATCTGCATCATCCCCATCATCACCATCATCCGCACCAGCACCAGCATCTTCATCATCACCAGCATTATCAGCATCATGATTGCCGTTTACATCAGCACCATCATCAGCATCCTCCTCCGCCGCCATCATCAGCAGCAGCGTCATCATCACCATCATAACCATAATCATCATCATCCCCCTCCTCCACCTCCCCGTCCTCCTCATCATCAGCATCAACATCAGCATCACCAGCAGCATCGGCATCAGCATCAGCACCAGAATTATCATTATCTGCGTCATCATCGCCATCATCAGCATCATCATCACCAGCATCAGCATCGTCAGCATCGTCATCGTCAGCAGCAGCATCATCCTCATGATCATTTGCATCAGTATCATCATCACCATCTGCACCAGCAGCAGCATCAGCATCCTCCTCGGCATCCTTATCATCGCCATGAGCAGCAGCAGCATCGTCATCATCATCACCACCATCAGCAGCATCATCAGCATCATCATCAGCATCATCATCATGCCCCTCCTCCGTCTCTTCCTCCTCGTGCCCCTTCTCCTCCTTTATAGGTATTGAACATAATCATGATCGTGTTAGGATTACTTTTGTTCGTAGTATTCGTCGGAAAGTTAGTATCATCAGTATTAGGCTTACTTGTTCTTAGTAACCGTTGTTTAACAAGCGTTCCTCGTGTCCCTCCTCTTCCTCCACATCCTCCTTCTCCTCCTCCGCCTCCTCCTCCTCCGCATCCGCATTCGCATCCTCCTCCTCCTCATCCTCACCATCATCAGCATGACCATCCTCATCATCATCATATGCATATTCATCATCATCAGCATCATCATCATAATCCTCATCACCACCCGCATCGGCATCATGGTGAGCATCATCATCAGCGTCAGCAGAAGCATCAACATCATCATCAGCATCATCAGTATCATCCTCCTCCTCGTCTCCTCCTCATCATCATCATTATCCTCATCCTCCTCCTCTTCATCCTCCTCCTTCTCCTCCTCCTCCTCATCATCATCTTCCTCCTCCTCGTCCTCTTCCTCCCCCCCCTCCTCCTCTCCCTCCCCCCCCGCTTCTCCGACTCGTCTCCCTCCTCACCCTCCTCCCACCCCTGCCCCTCCTCTTCCTCCTCCTCCCCCATCCTTCTCCTCCTCCTCCTCCCCATCCTGGTCCTCCGCATCCTCCCCCGCCTCCTCCTCCTCCTCATCCTCGTCCTCATCCTCGACCTCATCCTCATCCATCTCCTCCTCCTGCGCACGAAGTTGCGGACGATGAGCGCGCGCGCCCACCGCCGCCGACCCCCTAGAGCTAGGGGCCGCGCACTCCTGGCGGGGCCCGATAAAGAAAAAGCAAGAAGAGAGAAGAGCGAAAAAGAAGAGGCGCCAGGCTCACCACGTGGAGCTCCAGGAGCTCCACCAACCCGCCGATGGCGGGCGGCCCCCATGCCTCCCTGGTTCTTTCTGCACCAGGGGACACAGGCTACCCCACGTCACCGTGCGGGGCACACGGCGCGTGTCACCGTACATGGGTAACCTGGCCCGCCCCCACTGGCCCCCTCGCCCAAGGGGGGCCAGGCGGTACACGTCTTGAGCCGTACTCTCCACGAGAGCCGACCCCCCTGGCCACACCCGACACCCCGACGTCAGGGGCGGGCCCCAACAGTGGCCAGAGCCAGCCCCCGCACAGGCTGGTACCACGCAGGCCGACGCAGACTGGAGAACCAATCCGCGCCAGCCTTGGGGCGTTACCCACGCGGCCCCAGAACGCCGGGTCCCCGGGGGACCTGAGACGGCAGACCGACTCCGCACGGGGACCACCCGGTAGAGTCGGGGGGCCGCCCCAGGCCCGCCAGGGCACCAACGCCCCTGGGCCGCGGCGCCGCAAGCGACGTCTTGGCGGACTTCAGTTCCCCCAGGGGCCCCGATGCGCCGCCCACGCATCGAGGCCGCCCTCATCCATCTCCTCCTCCTCCTCCTCCTCCTCCTCCTCCTCCTCCTCCTCCGCCTCCTCCGCCTCCTCCGCCTCCTCCTCCTCCCTGCCTCCTCTCCTCCTCCCCTCCTCCTCCTCCTCCGCTTCCTCCACATCCCCTACTCCTTCTCATACCTCCTCCTCCTCCTACCGATCCTCATCCAGCCACATCATCATCCCTCCTGCCCCACCCTCCTCCCCCCTCCTCCTCCTCCTCCCCCTCCTCCTCCTCCTCCTCCTCCCTCCTCCTCCTGTCCTCCTCATCCACATCCTCCCTCAACCTCCTCTCCTCCGCCTCCTCCCTCCTCCCTCTTCCTCCTCCTCCCCCTCCCCTCCTCCTCCTCCTCCTCCTCCTCCTCCTCCTCCTCCTCCTCCTCCTCCTCCTCCTCCTCCTCCTCCTCCTCTCCACCACCTCCTCCTACTACCGCTCCGCCCTTCTCCTCATGACCTCTTTTTCCTCCTCCTCCTCTCCTCCTCCTCCCACCCTCCCTCCCTCCCTCCCTCCCTTCCCTCCTCCCACCCTCCTCCCTCCCTCCCATCCCTCCCTCCCTCCTCCCGTCCCTCCTCCCTCCTCCTCACTCCTCCTCCTCCCTCCTCCTCCTCTCCTCTCCTCCTCCTCCTCCTCCTCCTCCTCCTCCTCCTCCTCCTCCTCCGCCTCCTCCTCCTCCTCTCCTCCCCTCCTCCTCCTCCTCCACCTCCTCCTCCTCCTCCCTCCTCCTCCTCCTCCTCTCCTCCTCCTCCTCCTCCTCCTCCTCCTCCTCCTCTCCTCCCCCTCCCCTCCCCTCCCCCCCCTCCCCTCCCCTCCCCTTCCTCCTCCTCCTCCTCCTCCTCTTCCTCCTCCTCCCTCCTCCTCCGTCTTCCCCTCCACCTCCTACTCCTCCTCCTCCTCCTCCCTCCGCCTCCTCCTCCGTCGTCTCCGCATCATCCTCCTCCTCTGCCTCCTCCTCCTCCTCCTCCTCCTCCTCATACTCAGCACCAGCATGGCAAACAACATCATCAACATCATCAGCATCAGCAGCAGCAGCAGCATTCGCAACAACAACATCATCAGAGCAGCATCAGTATCATCATCATCATCATCATCATCATCATCAGCAGCAGCAGCATCATCATCATCATCAGCAGCAGCATCATCAGCATCATCATCATCATTATCATCATCATCATCATCATCAGCAGCATCATCATCATCATCATCAGCATCATCTTCATCATCATCATCATCATCATCATCATCATCATCATCATCATCATTATCATCGTCATCATCATCAGCATCCTCAGCATCATCAGCGTCCTCATCATCAGCATCATTACCGGCAGCAGCAGCTGCATCATCCTCATCATCATCATCAGCATCAGCATCATCAGCATCAGCATCAGCATCTTCACCATCATCATCAACATCATCATTGTCGTCTACATCAGCGTCATCATCAGCATCCTCCTCCGCCGCCATCACCATCAGCAGCAGCATCATCATCATAATCATAATCATCAGCATCCCCCTCCTCCATCTCCTCATCCTCCTCATCATCAGCATCAGCATCACCAGCATCATCGGCATCAGCATCAGCAGCATCATCATCAGCACCATCAGCTGCGCCATCATCGCCATCATCAGCATCATCATCATCAGCAGCAGCAGCATCGTCCGCATCGCCATCGTCAGCAGCATCATCATCCTCATCATCATCAGCATCAGTATCACCAGCACCATCTCCATCAGCAACAGCATCAGCATCCTTATCGGCATCCTTATCAACATCATAAGCAGCAGCATCGCCAGCATCAATCATCAGCAGCATCATCACCCGCATCATCATCATCAGCATCCTGTCCCTCCTCCTTCTCCTCCTCCTCAATCATCAGTATTAGGATCATTGCTCTTAGTAATCGTTGAATAATTAGTGTTCCTCGTTTCCCTCCTCATCATCCTCCTCCACCTCCTCCTTCTCCTCCTCCGCCTCCTCCTCCGCACCCGCATCCGCATCCGCATCCTCCTCCTCACCATCAGCATCAACAACAACATCATCATCATCAGCAGCATCATCATCATTATCCTGATCATCTGCCTCATCATCAGCAGCATCAGCATCATCAGCATCATCATCAGCATCATCAGCAGTAGCTACATCATCCTCATCAGCATCATCATCATCATCATCATCAGCATCATCATCAGCATCATCATCATCATCATCAGCATCAGCATCATCAGCACCAGCACCAGCACCTTCATCATCATCAGCATCATCATTGTCGTCTACATCAGCATCATCCTCAGCATCCTCGTCCGCCACCATCATCATCAGCAGCATCATCCCCATCATGATCATAATCATCAGCATACACCTCCTCCACCTCCTCATGCTCCACATCTCCAGCATCAACATCACCAGCATCATCGGCATCAGCATCAGCAGCATCATCATCAGCATCAGCATCAGCAGCAGCATCGTCAGCAGCGTCATCGTGCGCAGCATCATCCTCATCAGCATCATCGCCATCATCATCATCATCATCATCATCATCATCATCATCATCATCATCATCATCATCAGCATCAGCATCAGTATCAACATAACCATCTGCATCAGCAGCATCAACATCCTTATCGGCATCCCTATCATCGTCAGAAGCAGCAACAACACCGTCAGCATCAATCATCAGCAGCATCATCATCAGCAGCATCATCATGCCCCTCATCCTTCTCCTCCTCCTCCTCCTCATGCCCCTGCTCCTCCTTTATGAGCATTGAAAATATTAATAGTCGCGGTAGTAGTATCGTTGCTAGTAGTATTCGTATGAGAACTGGTATCATCAGTATTAAGGTCATGTTTCTTAGTAATCGTTACATAATTCGGGTGCATCGCGTCCCTGCTCCTCCTCCTCCTCCACCTCCTCCGTCTCCCCCTCCGCCTCCTCCTCCTCCACATGCGCATCCGCATCCGAATCATCCTCCCAATCATCCTCATCATCAGCATCAGCATC